GGCCGTAATAGCACGTCCAAACGGAGCAAGAAATGTGCGGCCTTTGTAACTGCCAATGACAAAAGCGCTTCAGAATAACAGGAATTTTCTTTAACTTCTACCAAAAAAAAAAAAAAAAAGAAAAAAGAAAAAGAAAAAAAGAAAACAAACTAGGGACAGCTGGGAAGCTCTCACAAATTTSATAGCTTTAGTAATTTACAATTTTAGTGAATATTTAATAAACACAATCCAAAAACTTTGGCCATAGTAGTTAACACACAGTTAACTGTAGCTTTGCTGTTTTTAGCAAGATGAAAATTAAGCAACAGACTCTTCTATGATGGAGGGTGCTAATCATGTAAAAATTGTCATGGATATTCCTTCATATTTTCTAACAAAGGCATTTTAGATAACTAACAGCAGTTCTCCAAGAGGTGCTTTACACTATGTACCTACTTATTTGCATATAGATCTATGTAAACCATCAAATTCATAAAAGTGCTACCCTTTGGCAAGCATTACCCACTCTGCATTTTTTTTAAATAGCTGTCTTGCCATAACTGAACAGCTAGAGTATAAAGAGGGGTTTTTTTAATTAAAATCACATTTGTATAGATGTAAAAAGCAAACAGTATTCATGCAAATGCATGGAAATTATTAAAGCTATTCATAGCTCGCACCGTGTTCTGATCACATTTGAACATTTAAAACAAATTCAAACAGGAGTGCAATTATACCTATTATATTTATAAAATTACGTTATTTTTACTTATTCTGTAGACATYTTCAAGCTTTTCACTGGTCTCAGTGGTAAGGGTCCGGTGCTCCCTGCCGTAGGCCCGGGCCGCTCGGCGCCTCACGCCCCGGGTGGGGATCGGGGCCTGCAGCTCGAGCCTGGACCCGCTGGGGCGGCCGGGAGAGCAACTGCTCCACCTGAACCCTGCCTACATCACAGGATGTTCAAGGTTGGAAGGGGCCTCTAGGGATCATCCMGTCCAACCTTCCCGCTCCAGCAGGGACACCCAGAGCATGTGGCACAGGGCGGCATCCAGGCGGGTTTGGAAGACCTCCAGAGAAGGAAAAGGGAAAGGTCTGCAGAGAGAGACACACACAGGTTGTGGCTGCTGTGAACACACAGCATCACATACTTTACAGATCAAATTATTTTCAAATTACTAATCAATTACAATTATTTAGTCAATTTAGTCAGTGCAAAATGTGACATAACACCTTTACGATTTTTTTTTTTCAATTGGAGGAAAGAAATAACGCAAGAGACACACGATGTTGGGGCACTAGAAAACTCAGCTCTTAAAACCAGAAGGGTCAAAGAAGCAACTGCAGATGAAATCAATCAGAAAAAGAAATTGTTTACAGAAAAGAGAGAAAAAAGTACTCAGTAATATTACTAACATAATATGCTCGTTTAGGACAACCTACAAAAAGGGCTTAAACCATGGAACCACTTGAGAAAACCGCTGCAAGAATAAAATGCAAATATTTAACAATGGTAAAATTCAAGAAGTTTGGCTAAGATTAATAACTATTTTTCTTAAATAAAACATCCTCATTCCACAGTCAAGTGAGAAAGTACGAGATAAGGTTTTCATTAAATCTCTACTTTTCTGTAAGTCACTATAAGAGACTAATATAAACCCATTCTGAGTCTATGCAAGTCTTATAGAAGAGCCCAATCGGGCTGACAAGACAGCAGTACTCTTTCAAAGGAGAAAGAATAAAACTTTCAATACAATGAATGTATCTCCACCCTCTCAGTATGYCTTAATCTTAAATTCAGGAAAACCATGCCTATCAAGTGAAGCATGCAGAATAACTGAGGAAAATCTGTTTATTTGCAGAGACTAGGTCTGTGAAGAGTTCCTAAAAATTATATGTAATATAAAAACCATCACGGAACTACTCAATTTTACTCTTCAAAATCCATTCTGTTGAAGTAGTAGTCTAGAATGTTAAAAACACAGGATATAATGTCCAAAATATTTAGAATTACTAAACAAAATTACATTCCCCTTTAATTTATTCCACAAGACACACTTTCACACACATTACTACTTTATATGCAATTATTTCACTATCCCCAATGTACACGTGAACAAGAAAAAAAGAACACTCCATAAGATTTCCATTTTCCAAAAGAAAAACATAAAATCTATATTATAGAAATGCTTTTCATACTAAAAACAAGAACACAAAAAGAAATGTGAAATAAAGTAGTTTACAACCCTACAGCATAGCACTAATTAATTTTTTATAGTCTCTTACTATTTGTTCCAAATCATATCAAACTATGCTAGCTAAGAATCCAGGGCTTTGAACATAAAATTCTCCAGTGAAAACAGACACAAGAGGCAATGCAGATGAATCCTTTTTTTAAATGTTTTAATGCCAAACGGCTTTCTGTATGTAAACTATTTTAAAAACATAAAATTATTTTCTGATATATCTATTCCTAGAAATAGTACATTTAGATTTCCTATTTTTTTCATAAATGAATGCCATCACTACATCCAAAATATCAGTGCAACAGCCTCTAAAACAAAGGCTTCCTTAAGGATAGACATGCAAGAAAAGTCAAGGTTTAACTATAGAAGTTTCRATCATGACAGCTCCAAAACCTCAGAGGAATGGTTATAATTTCAAATGTTTTAACCTGCTAAAAATATTTCAAATACTTGTCCTATGAATATAATGCAACTTTGGCATTTTATTTGCAGAAGATTTGTTTATAGGAAGAGACACAGTATCTCTTAAGAGTACAAAGATAATGGAGTATTTAACACTTGGGTTTTTTTTTCCAAAGTGATTTCCTGTAAGTAGAGCACACTGGAAAAGCAGCTATGTTCTGTCTGTCACCTAACCTGCAGTTGTTGGGAAAGGCACCCTGTGTGACCCAACTTTTCYCCTGCAAGACCCAAAGCAAAGAAAGGAAACACTGCAGGTGACGTTCAAACCAGAGCCTCACAATCCAGTCACCTTCAGCCCCTGTCCTATGGGACACATCCCACAGGCTGAAGTGCTGTTAACGACCAAAACCACTTTCATCTTTCAGGAGACTCTGGTTACAACCAGCACAGGGAAGCTGATTCCTAGACATGGCAGAAATTAGCCAATACTGACCGTGTTTGCTAAAACATTTACAGTTTCTGACTGACTTATGCTAGCAACAGCATTTAATAATACAACAGCTAACACAGCACATTTCATCATAATTCTCAAAAAAATTTTCAACGATTTTGATCATTASGTTTTGTTAATACTAAAGGAAGTGTTGAAACCCACTGAAACTACCCAAAAAAGCAACTATGGTTGTAGAAGCTACAAAGTAGTAAAAACAGGAATTTGTTGCTTATTAGCACTCTGATGCTGGTATTTTACTCTCATCACCCATATTGTGCAAGCAGTTGACTTGTATATACTGAGCAAACTATAGACACGTATATTTGTGCGAGCACAACCCAAGCYCTTTTCAGCAGGGCTGCTTAGGCAGCGCAGCCACCAAGCCCAACACAAGCCACCAACGGGACCCTGTGGCCACAGAAGAGCCTCTGCACACAGGGCCACGCCAGAGGAACACGGCAGCAGATCAAGGTGCTCATGAGTTACCCCAGAGCTCTACACCCTTCTAGGAGCAGGGTGCAAGGAATGGGAAAAGCATTAGAGACAGTGAGGAGCCTGGAGGGCATGAGGTGCAGGGCGAGGGGACACTAACCAGGGACCTAACAACAGCCTACAGGTTCTCGGAGGGTTTCCAACATTAAAAGGTTTCTGACACGAAAAGCAGAGCCCAAGCTCTTGGCAGTCGTGCCACACGAGGCAAAAGGCTGTGGCTACAAGCTGTTCCTTGGAAGCTTCACTTTGGATCCCGGGCTGCCGAGGGAGGTGTCTGATGTCCCTCCTGGGCAAGTTACCCGTGTGCAGGTTGGCAGCACTCCTGCTTCGTGCAGGAGGTTGGATTAAACGGCTACCAAACTTCCTTCCAACAGACATTTCCATAATTTTATGGTTTTGGTACGCAATGCCTCAGAGTCTCTTAAAAGCAAAATATTTCTCTTTTGTAAAATACAAACTGCAAAATAAGGCAAATGAATTGGTCCCTAGAATCCTATTACATTTTTATTACAGCAATCAGTCACCATTGGGTGGGACTAGCTGCCCAAATACGGGCATCCAGTACTATCTGAGACAGCACAGAATAGCTCAGACACACTCAGGATGGGGCAAATACGAAGAGAGCGCACRTGAAACCTGCAATGTTCTGTGCTAGCAGTTGGAGACATGGCAGAACATCCTAAAAATGACAGCAGATGCAAATATTGAGACAAGTGAATTCTATCCTGTTGAGACAGACACAGAACCAGTTACAGTCAGAGGAAGAAGTTTCTTGCCAGTCTCTATTTGGTAACACACGGAGTTTCTTCTATTCTGAAATGCCAGCAAGAGGAAAACCTCAGAAATTAAGTACAAGATGTGTTTCAAACTAGAAWTAGTATCACTGAATAGCTTCAATATATCAATCCTGATCAGGTTTTCATCTGWTACAAGAAAATACCACCTCTACAAAGTATGAGAGCCTGTCAGAGAAGATAAAACTATCAACTCTCTAACCAACCAGAGCTACCAGTTCAAACACGGCACCAGAGTATGAACGACAGAAACCTTTGAACTTTTCTAACATTAACTGATCTCTGAAGTATCAGTCAAAAACATTTACAGTTACCTCAAATTATTTTAAGACACAGTGAGTCTTGCCTGACAGGCAAGGGTCATGAAGAACAACAATCCACACATTTAACCATCAGTCTGCAGAAGAGCAAATAAAATGAAACTGGTCCACACATTTCAGTACACGTTGTTGTCTTAGTAGACAAAAACAAAAACCTTGAGGTAAATTTTGTTGTTAGAACATGCTTTGTCCATCATAAAATCAAATTTGCTTTCCCGTGGAAATACAACCTGCCAACCCTATGTGATTTTTTTTTCCCCTCTTAAAATAAACTTACCGAGTGCCATCTGCTTTCCAGCTAACTTTGTATGGCTTCTGCTCTAAAAATTTAATATTTTGCTTGTCCATAGAAACAGGCTGTGCTCCAGGGAATCCAGACCTAAAAGAAGAACCATGTTTGTTTATGTTCTACAGAGAGTAACCACAGACGGTAACGCATTTTTTACACARGACTTACAAAAGTCACACTTTGTACTAGACTTACTGCAAGGTTAACTTTCAATTAGAGCACCTTCCCCAGTAAGGGGTTTTGCAGGAGTATCCACATGCTTTTTGATAAGAACATAGGTATTTTTCATGACAAAAAAAAATAGAATTGCTTAGAACTTCCAAGTTGTATTTTTAGGGGAAGAGAGATTTTAATTCAAAGCTGAACTATAAGCATCAGCACCTTGCAGTTGTTCATAGTTTTTTTCCCCCGAGTCTTCTGCTTTAAAAAGGAGAAGCTYACAGTTCGAAACACGAAAAACTATGTTCCCATTAACACAGTTCCAAGTTGGCTTTAACTATGTTAAAGAGCTAGAAGAGAATACCATAAGATCAAAGTGAACTGTAGCTGTATGGAAAAGTTATTAATGCTTGGACAACACTACATTTTACACAAATAAGTGGGCTAGACTACACTTTGGACTTTGCCTATCAACTATTCATATGAAAACGATTTGTTAATCTCAGATTCCTGGCTCTTAATTCCAATAGTTGATCATTCTGTTACATAGGAGAACATAGGAATCTTAGTTGTTTCACTGCTGAGCACTCCCGAGGCTGTTCTTTTTTTTTTGTAACAACCCACCTGAAAATATCACCGCCTTTTTGCCTTTCTTTAGTGAGCTTTTTCTTTCTGCAAAGCTAGGAACATAGCATGTGCTCATACACAGTATAAAATAACAGATTCTAAATGTGTCTCATACCCTTCCCATCCACAGAACTGTTGACATTTTTGCTGTATCCCTCCTAACTTTGGTTGCGTTGTCACTTGGGTCACAGATTTAACTGTTACTCCTTCCAAGAAAATTGCACCCTAAATAAGAAAGAAAAAAAAACAGTATTTAAGTCTTCATAAAAGCAAATGAGAAAACAGCTGTGAACTGCGACACTAAAAGTTAACGCCAAAAAAACTTTGAGATGCATCTTTGTTCTGCATTTCAGAACATGAGGTCAACATGTCAATTCAAGACTCGGGCTCTTTGATACCACATGACCATCACTGACACTACTAACAAAGATTTCTTTCTTCTAGTCTTCTTTCTTGTAGTCTCAACACTACTACTTCTCTAAATACCAAGACACCATCATCTCAGTTTTGCCATAATAAGCCAAATTAATTTGTGAGCCATATCAGGAACCCAAGCAGCGAGGTGAGTTAWTAGGGGACTGGAGGAAGAGCTAAGTGCTAATGGGCAGGCACTACCTAGCTGGTATTCTCAGTGAAGTTCCCACATTGGACTGCAGGATCAGCATCTTGCGCAACAGGGATCAAATTAAACATTCTTTTCATGGATATTACCTCCTCATAGGTGATCTAGCACATTCTAAGTCTCCGAACAGACTTAAAATGGAAAGAAAACAATCAGATTGAACACTCTCCTGAGAATGAAGATGGCTTCCCTACTCTTGCACAGCACCAAATTTCAGCGGTTCTAGTTGAGTCAACATAAGCTCCTCAATAAAAGCAGTTGATAACATGAAAAATTGTTRGCAAAATTATCCGTGTACAAATATGCTGACATAATTTCATTTTGAGTCTAAGCCAGGTTACTACAGTGGAGAAGTTCTTCTGAGTGCCACAGGAAAGCCCAAGGAGCGATTAATAAAAGAACACTGAAAATAAAACCCAAACAACTTAGGTATTCCAGAAAATGTTTGAAGGTGAACGAAATAACGAGTTCTGCCCAGAACACAACAAAAAGCCATGAAGGCCCAGGGAGCTCCATAATTTAAGATTTCAACCGAAGAACCAGAACCTCCCAGACTTATTTCAACAACAACTCTAATAAATTCTCATTGCAGACTGAGAAGATCAAASCAAGAAGTTACATTTATCTAGCTACGAATCTCGCAAAAGAAGAGAGAAATATTTCCAGCCTGTTTCTAAAATGCCTGTGATTTGCCTTAGCAAACCTAGCTGTTCTACTGATGAAATGAGCCTTTTTGCTGTCCTGCCCTTCCGCATATGGTGCCACATGTCTGTTCTACTCTTAAGCCAGTTTAGGAATGAAGCTGGCAAAAAACTAACAGTGTAAGTTAATAATTTTCTGCCAATTCTCAATATTCTGCTTTATGGAACTTGCGCCTGCCACTTGAGAGCATCTCTTGTAGATTTTCCCATCGAGACAGGCAAGTTCRCAACTGGTTTTGGAGCCACTAGCATCAGTGTGCACAGCACAATCCAGTTTCCCAGCAAGCTGGACCCAGCTGCACGCTGCCTTCACACTCGGGAGGATTTTGTGCAGTTTAGATAATACTCCATATGGTGAAAATGGAAAAAAAAATCAGTGAATTATTCAAAATTACAAAAGCGTTAGTTTTTTAGAGCGTAAAAAAATATGTACATCCTAATTTGGTTCCAGATACCCAGCTGGTGTATTTGTTTTTCTGTTTATTGTAAGAGCTTTTAGTTGTTTATTGATTTTAAACAACCTGACGAGACACAACAGGTTCTGCTGCAGAGGCAGCAAGTGCTCGGCGCACACAACTACCGATACGTCTGTGTTCGGGGGTTGAGGAGGGCTGCAGGCTTGAGAGAATTAAGGAACAAGCAGAGCCTTGTATCCCTCCTAACCTTGGTTGTGCCGTCACCGGGGTCCTGCACGCGGCTTCCTCGGGGCTGCGGTGGGAAGGGCCCTGGCTCTGTAGGTCCCAGGCACTGGAGCTCCCACCAGCTCCTCGGCAAACTGAGCTTCACAGCATGGGGAGCAGCAGAGAACATCCCACTGCTGGATACTGGCTCTTGATCCTGCTATGCACGGCCTCATAGGTGAGCCCAGGAAACAGGAGGTAGATGAAACTTCTCCAAAACAGGCGAGCAGCCCAATTCAAACCAGGTTCAGAGGCGCTACCAGGGATCCACTAACAAACTGCAAGAAGGTAGAGCAGAGGCTCTGCAGGGTCTGTTCCAGGTGAAACAGAAGTATTTTTTATCCCTGAACTTTGGTAAAAAAAATTTTGTGCCATGTGTATTTAAAAACAGGGATATAGACTGTGGTGGTAGCTTTAGAATTCAGGACTATCCTTAATTTTTTACCTGGTCTACAAAAAATAATAGGGTGCAATTCATTATAAACAAATGCAAAGTTCTGTGTGTGATAAGGAGTAAGCAACTGCACAAATACACAAGGGTGGACAACTGGAGAAAAAGATACAAAGGCAGCAACACACCAAAAGCTGAATTAGTGCCATTATGCCTTGTAATAGGCAATTATATTGAGATATATAAACAGATCTATAGCCTTAAGACATGAAGAATATGTCTGAGACAGCCTCAATTAGAGGCTTATGYTCAATTATGAGCACCATAATCTGAGGAAAGAAAACACAGGTTAACAAGACAGAACACAAACAATGACAAGTATGGCTACAGGTCTAGAAATACAGAATATGGGAAAAAGTGAACAAATTTATATTCAACAGGAAAAAAGAGAAGACCAGAAGGAAACAAGACACCATTTTTCAAGTACACAAAAAGCTACGGCAAAATAAAAGAATTTTCTTTCCAAATCCATCAACACATGTCCACAAGTGGAATAATAAGTATAAGGGTTAAACTTCAGCAAGTTAGATTTGGAGGAAGACAGTCTCTCTAATACTTAGAATCAATRTTACTTCAGTAGTTAAACAATAAATAATATCTTTGCTTATTGTATCAACCAGGACATTTCATGTTTTCCCCAGTCTTACCAATGACCACAGGACAGTTGCCCTGAGAATTGTGAAGGAAATCATTAAGAGTAATGATCTCCTCCAGAGTGAGAGATGTAACCATTGATTTCAGAAGCTCTGCACCCTATATTTCACTTGAAGTATGCAGTTTACATGGGAATATAACAGATGGCACTCCTTAATAAACAGTAAAAGACCTGGCTGACCCAGGGAAAGTTTGAAAGTTCTGACTCAGAACTGTAACTTTGTGTCCTATTTTCAAGAAACTTAAGAGATTTAAAAAAAAAAAAAAAAAAGATTCCAAACATCAGCTAATAATGTTGCTGCAGTGCTACAATCACTTTTAGTGTGCACACTAAGTCAAAAAAAAAAAAAAAAAAAAGTTGGATTTCTTCCTTAACGTCAGTCAGAAAGGCGAGCAGGCTTCCTGTAATCTGCCAAGCACATTCAGGGATGATGAAAGAAGCCAGGACTGCATTATGTGCTGGTTGTCCCAAGCAAAAAGAGGGGCTCTCAAGACTTTTTTCAGTCAAAACACAAGTTTTAATGAAGGGTTCTGCAGCAAAGTTTTCCAGGTCTGAAGCACACGGCAACTTCGCTTCCGAGGCTATCCGGGCAGTTGCTTCTGCCTATTGATTATCCTAGCTAGGTGCCCGGGAAGTGTCTCTTCCTCTGGCCCCAAACTTTCCAGCCTCCCTGCAAAAATCTGGGTCAAAACTAAAAGGTTTCCGAATATGGGTATCACAGAACAAGTGTGCTCCACTTGGCTCTACTCTGACACTGCACAGCCACCCCTGGTGTTTAGAGGGGTCCGCAAGTTAGACCTCTGCAAACACCAGCTGCAAGAGAGAAATCGAAGGCAACGCTGACAACGCAGCCCTTCAGACCAGGAGGAAAACAGGAGGTATTTACCTGATAACCACTCTCCTTGGGGATGGCACTTTTACGGGGAACCACAGACAGACTGTATCCAGCGCTACTCAGCTACGGAAGCGTCCAATCTGTCAGCCAAGAATCACGGCAAAGCATCTCCCCTTCCTCGCTCTCGGTGCCACAGAGCGCTCCTCCAGAGCTGCAAAACCGAATTATACGAATGCGCATATTAACGCGACGAAGCTTGCGCTACTTCTCTCACTCTTCAGTACGGTGTGGTTATTAATATGCTTATTCGTATAATTTAGCTTGCCGCTCTCAAAGGACTACTCGGGCAGAGAAGGAACAGCCCGGGAAGCCTGTAGTGTGATTCCTGGTAGACGGATGGGATTTGTTTTACACCTGCGGAAAGGAGGYCCTCGCTGCACCTCGCCCTCACACCTCCTTTGCCGAGGCACCAAAAGGCAAGACAAAAAACAGGCTTGCAACTGAAAATTTTAAACATCAATATTTTCCCGCAAGGCTAATTAGCAAAATGCCCACTTCACTGAAAATATTTGGACTATTTATGGATATGCACAGTTGTAAGCAATCTTTAATTCCAGCTGATGAACTATTTAAAAGTTGTCAGAGTACATCTTGCTTCTTTGAACCAGATTTTGTATTCTTTTCAGGCTAATTTCCTCCACACACTCTCTGTAAACTGTAAGAAACAGCTGCAGTAACAACAAAATGATTTTTTTGTAGCAGATTGCATGTGAGGATTTCCAAGCGTTTGCAAACAACACACCTCAGCACACAAGTAAAATAATTCAGAATTATGGGGAGGAAAAAAAAATGCAAACATATTTTTGTACTCAATATTCTCCCCTACTTTATCTAGGGGCAGAAAAATGACGGGTTTAGAGAAAACTCAGCCATCGGTCTTTACAACAGCACRATTATATTCTTTCTTATTTAAGCATTAGCTTCATATCATAGGAAAAAACAGCTCGAGCTGCTTAATTGTAAGAATGCAAATTCATTGCAAAATAATCTTAAGTGATTGGGCACATTCTAAAAGTTATCTTGACAGAATCTAAGAACTTTGAGTTAATAAATATTCAAAATTGTCTTGGTGTTTTTACATATTACCATTTCCTAATTCAATTCTCAATCGTCTAAAAATTTTCAAAACCGAGAATATTTATTGAAATAAGCACTAAATTTAAGACTACTCTGAATTTCACCCACATGGTTAAAAATAAACAAATATGATTTATGCACCTCCCAAAATATTTCACCTCTACAGATATAGTGGAAAACTGAAGTGCTTTATCACCTCAATTCAATCTTTAAAAACAAATCAAAGAAATAGATATTTCAAATAATTTTTAAGTGATTGTTATACTGGAAATAGCTGAAGTATTGGTAGGAATCATGAGAAAGTTTGCACTGCTGCTTAGAGACAATACTGCCAGTCTCTCACTTGCAAGAAGACTGACATTTATACAGTGTGTATAATGTATTAATGACGTAGTGACACGGAGATTATGAAATTCAGTTTAGCAATTGGTATATTAAGTTTTCCATCAGAATTACCAGTTTTAGGCGTTCTTTTCTTCTTTTGCCAAAAGAAGAGCTTGASGAGCCAGGTTCTGATTCTTGGCCTCCTATTTTACCATTATCGTCCTCCTCATCATCATCTTCATCAAAGCACCATTCCGGTAGCTCCGGTGGTGAAGGGGCATCGTCTTCATCTCCGTAACGTCGGAATAATTCCTTCAAATAATCACCTTTATAAATGCCCGGTGGTCTGGCCTGAGCAAAAGTGGCCACAGCTGCCTCAACACTGTCAAATAAAATGGACAATTACATTGAATGCTTAATTCCTGTTTTACTCACATTACGTCTTAACAAGAAATAAGTTATTTGTGTCAAGAATTCATTAAAAAAACAAAAATCCAATTACAATTGCAAACACATTCACCATATTCAAAGATAGGTCAACATGGTAACTGTTGTCCCAGCACAACACTGCACAATTACATAGSCACTGCTCATGTGCTCAGAGGTAACTGCACTTGGCACTGCTTTGTCTSCACATTGCAGCTCTCTGCTCCTCTCCCAGGTCATATTTTCATTATTGCTACAGAAAAGGATGAGGGTAAAAAACTGTAAGTAGAGATCTGGACAGACAGGAAAAAGACCAAAGAAAAAGATGAAAAAGCTTCATAAGCAAGAATACAAGTGCTCAAATTCAAATAAGGCTACATTTTTCACCTAAGACCTATTTTCCTTTTCAGTCAAAGTTTTGCCATCATGCTGAGATAAAGCATTCAAATCCTTCGAAAYAGCAGCTCTCTCCAGAAGTCTCTCTCCAAAGCTGTAATTTGGAAGCCTCTTCCTATGCAGCTATGCTTAATCCTAAATTCTTTAGTAAGCTGAAGACTGAATCACAATAAATAAATAAACAGCAACCAAAACCAACAGACAGAAACTAAAACCAATAAACCTGCCAGTCATGCAGGTTTAAAATTCAGCTGGAAAGCACCCCAAAACATAATATCAATGAGAACCACATGGGAACCTTTAGACAAGTAGTCAAGTAGWTCAGAAGCCAACAGGTTGGTAGCATCATTCAACTCTCCTCTTGCTCCTCTCATGTGTGTTTAATATTGTGGTTTCAGGCAGCATTATTGCTCCATCTATCAACGTATGGAAATGATGCTGTATGAGAGAGATCACTAAAGATACATCCCTCTCTTCTTCCAACAAACTCTATTCTAAAACTGAAAAAACTAACTAAACAAAAAGAGTTTAAATCCAAAAGGCATTTTTAATCCGAACTGTCCAGTATTGGCAGGTGCCCAAGAGACAAATGTTCCAGAATATCCAGAAACGGTGAGAAGAGCCAGTAAGTTGGTTTGTTCTCCCGATGCTTTGCAGGAGTGGAAAAGACAAGGCTTTCATGGGTGAGACGGCCAGATGGTCATTAGACCTTCAAGAGTGACAGTGCAAGAATCTAAGCTACTTTGAAGGGTATTCTAAGTATCTTGCTTAGTTCTTCAGCATCTTTATTTGATGCCTTTGAAAGACCAAAAAAAAAAGGGAGGATGAAGCAGGAAAAAACCTCAAAGTTTGTCTTTGGTGATATTAAAAGAAGTCTATACTATTACAGAATAGCTGGTAATAAAGCGAGAAGCAGCAGATTTCAAGCACAGMAACACAGCCTGAAAGAAAACATTGCAAGTTCTAGAAACAGGCAGTCTTAGGGGAAAATGAGTTTTGAGAAGCGAATCAAGTAAGGTTTTGATGACTAGCTGCAGGGCTTTCCGTCTGGATGACCTTTCTTTAAACTAGCTGTAAAACACGTCTCAGTATTCACAGCGCATCAGCAGCAGCTCTGCATCCCTCGCCCAAGGAATGAATACGAATGGCTTTTCCTACAGGGAAAACCTTATTTCCTGAGCAGCCAGTAACAACATCTTATGCTAAAGAACAATACAGCAAACTGAATTATCTTGATATGATGCTTACACTTCACTGACACCTTGCAGAAATTCCTGCTTTTGCTGTAACATTTTTACCCAGGTGAAGCTTTTTTCTTTTGTCTTTTTTAATTTGACAGAGATTAATAAGTTTAATATAATTAACCAYGTGAATGAAATAAAAATAAGACTAGGCTGCTAAGTTTTAAGGTATCTTTTGTATTTGGATATATAAAAAGGCTGCATAAAATTTAAAAAAAAATAGCGCATTTCCTTTTCAGAACAAAGGACTAACRCTAATTCTAATTACTTCATACTGCTTTTATTAGGGAGATTAAAAATACACAAATCTGGTAGTTCAAAGGATAAACTACAGCCACAAAGATATCTGTACCTGTACCTATTCCCGATACTCAGCTATCCATGGCGTTCTATCTCCATTACTGCAATGTTTTTATTCCACGTTTACTTGAAGACAGTAGATAAATGAGCTGGTTATTTTCCATCAGCTTGCATATACATGCAAATCAACAAATAAGCTGTAGGTTCAGTCCTAATGTAGCCAAAGAAGTATATTCTTGAAAGACTATACAAAAATATCTTGTCCTTAAGGAGCACAGTGGTGCACCTTGCAGTGGTCCCCATCAGACAGCAAGGAAAGTGTTTCACAGATACTGTCAAATACACAAGAATCGGGATTATCAGCAAGGTTATTTGAAAAAGATCACTAGCCTCTACTAAAACACCATCATTTTTAACTCATCCAAAATAAAGGTGCCTCATGCTGTAGACTTTAGTGAAATAAAGCTATGACACTGACTGCCTCCTCCCCACTTAAGAAGCACCACTCTGCTCTTGCTGTAGCTAATCTGCTCTTTTCAGAACTCAAGACAATAAAAGAGATGCAACAGAATCACAAGACAGAGATGCAACAGAATCACAAGACAGAGATGCAACAGAATCACAAGACAGAGATGCAACAAAGACGCTAAAAGATTAATCTTTTAGGCATCTCTGGACTCTTCACACTTGCCCACAACGTGGGACATGACACAGGGAAAAGCCACAGTACTGCACAGACACATCCAATAGGCTACACACAGCAGGGAGAGCAGCTGGTTGGTCTAACAGACCTGAAAAGCTTGACTGAATCAGACTGAGCTTTGGCATGATGGTAGCAATGATGCTAATCAACATTAGCATTTTGCAGGCAACAGCTACAGAAAGTAAAGATTTCAAACGCTGCACTTGCTGTTACTTTTAAGGCATCATTCCTCAACTGAAGCCAAGAAAGGCYGACACCCACTGAAAGTGCCACTGGCATTTTCCACAACAGCCCCAGAATCAACATTCGAGATTACCTCCAGTCCAACTTCTCCACCAAAAAGGCACAGATCAGAAATCCAGTTCTATTGAAACCGTGTGTGCAATGGACACCTACAAGATAAAAAGCAAGGATGCTATCAGTTAAAAGTAGTTTTMATTAAACAGCTTCAGTTTCACAAGTATACTTTGGGGGTCATTCTGTTTTCATGACAACATTAGAGAATCACCTCTCTTCCTTCTTCAACAGCTTACATCCCATAATAAACCTGAAAGGCAAATTATTACATTTTTCCTGGAAATTATTAGCAACAAGGATCTAGGACACTTCAGTTTATTCCAGCTCAAGAGCACTAAATTAATACAACTGAAATATGGTTAATGCAGATTTGGTTCTAAAGGGTTTTATGATTGCTGAAATGCTGATCAGAAGACAATACCATTAAACTGCACTTCTACTGGACTCAACAAGCATTATAGTCATTTCACATTAATGGGAATAAAAATCATATTCAGATTACCCTACTTCAAGCTTCAAAAGCAGTGTCAATAGATGACAATTCTATTTCGAAATTATTACCATGCTAAGACCAGACTTATTAATTTTGAAAAAATCCCCAAGAAAAGGGGAAAATAAGGAACAATGCAATCACTTTGAACTACTTATCTCCTCTCAAAAAGGAAAGAATTAAATCTTCAGCCTGTTTTATAAAAYTCTTTCTACAGAAGAGTCAAATATATATGACTGCTTTTCTCTTCTCTCAAAGCAACAGCACCATCTAGTGATAAATAAACCAAGTCTGAAAAGTGGTATTAAAATTGTGTAAAAGATTCATGTAAGAGGTTGGCTCTTCCAGCTCTTCACACTGCCTTTTTAAATGATAAATACAGCAGTATTAAGTTGCCCTGCTCCCAAAACGATTTTGTTTCTCTGAACTTCAGCACATTTTTCAGCTCTATGAAGTAAGTCACTTTTATTGGCAGTATTTTTATTGCCTTTGTGTATTTCGCCACAATACTTAGAAGAGTAAGTTTAGCAGCAATTTACTTGAAACTTATTTGGTCGAAACATTGACAGCTCTTTTTCCTTTCTTGTATACTCTGCCCCATACTGTAAGCAAAAACTTTTAGCAAAGAAAACTGTCTAAAAGACAGTTTAAAAAGACAGATTAAGAAGAGAAAAACATAGYTGTTTAGTCACTCTAGTCACTTAAAAAAGTGTGTAGATTTCATAAAATGAAATTAATTTTAGCCTTCTTAGAAGCTTCATTCCTAGTAACCACTTCTTTGTTTCTACTTAAGCAGAATCTTTGCATTTTGCTCCTGCATAACCCACGGCAGGGAAATGGAAAATGTTTTTGGACTTCTACTACTCAAGAACAGACCAGGGGTTACCTGTGAGGTAAAGAAAAGGTCAAGCAAAAGAAAAAAGCCAAGAAAAGGAAAGTCTCAAGTTTTGAGACACAGTTGATGGCTGATCATGCCCAATAATTTAATAGTTCCTCATTTTTCATGTTACATGTCTGTGTTAGAGTTTAGGCAAGCAAAGATGAATGAAATTKTAACAAGACCTATGTGAAATAAAGAAATGAGAGTATGCAAAAGAAAGTCATGTTCTGCAATTGCATCATCCAAACATGGATTAAAACTACAATTCTCAGTGGTATCTCCTGAAAACACATGAAGTAACTGGCATAGATTGCAATAAAATGAAATTGCATTGAAAAAATTCACTCATGTAGTTGTGTTCAGACACTGGAAGAGGCAGCCAGGAGAGGCCATCCTTGCAGATCTTCAAAACAAAACAACAGTCCTGGGAGATCTGCTCTAGGTAGGTGACCCTGCTCTGAGCAGGGACAGGAACTACATGATCCCTTCCAGACTCAACTATTCCATGATTCACAACTATTCCATGATTCACAAATAATTTCTTTTCTCTGACAATTTGCAAATAGAACTAAACATTAATATGCTTAAGAAAAAACAAATAAAATGGTTTAGATTAAAATTAGAAGTCACTCAAATTAAATTCAGAACTGATTTTGCTTTGGAAAAAATAGCCTGAAGATCATTCAAATACTCATTTCAAGACAGTATACCACAGAAGAAAACCCTAGCCTAACATCTACTAACATTTTCCAGCAATTTATCACCTGCTTTGTGAAATTAAGCAACCTAATATGAATTCCAGTAAACCAGGACATCCCACTTATATATATATTTWTATATATATATAAATCAGGCAACATAATCTTCATTTTAATCAAAAGAAGTTACAAAAACATAATGCAGGTATTATGTATTAGTAGACAATTCTTAAGTCTTTGTATTTTTTGCATAAAATTGCCAAGAGRGGCCTGCAGAAACATTCAGCTTTATGTGTCAAGTACAAGTTTACTTTAGAGCCAAAGCAATCAAATTGAGATTGATGTAAATATTGTAATGTATTACTTCAAATGTAAATATTGTAGTGAGGAAATTCTTTGCTTAGATTTTCTAGAATCAAGAATTGTAACTGTGAGTGAATTAACTACAAAATTAATGGAAAAAAACTAGTGCAAATGGATACAAGATAACACACACCTATAAGCTCTGAGGGGTTCTTATCACTGAAGTGTTCACATACGCGGATAAACGTTTCTGTATTCTCAAGTGTTGGGCACTCWCCATGCCTGAAAAAGAGGAGAACACAAAGGAGATATTTGAGAAAAGCAAAAAAAAGGTGGTTGCTTCAGTGTGGTCTTTCACATTAAAGCTAAACATTAAAAAGTGCAGTCAACTTACCCTTTACATTGAAGTTTTATATATTTAATCCCCTCTTTCTCTATATCATTCCTATCATAGAATCTAGTGGTGTTGGTCAGGTCCACCAGCAAACCCATTTTAACCTAAAGATTGAAAAAATACATACTTTTTATTTTATGCATACATTGTAATTGGCTAATAAAATGCAAAACAAAAGCAAYAGGGTGCTATCATTGTAAGTTTGAATCAATTCAATCTCTTTAGTGTATTCCCGCCAACATTTTTAAGTTAGGAAAACTACTAACAGAAAATAATATCTGGTTAAAAAAGGTGTTTTAAAGTGTTAAAAGATAGATAAGGCTATATGAAGTGATTTTGTGCTGCAGTAAATCAGTGTTAAACACTGGCCATCAGAAAAATAAACTACTGAGACCTCCATGCAAGTATCCTTTCAGAAACACTAATTCACCCCCACCTATTCGTGCACTAAATTTACTGAAAAACAGATGAAGACTTGAAAATTCAAGTTTTAAACAAAAAAAGAATCCCTGAAGCTCTCAGAAACTTCTGATTCAAAACTGAGAAATGATTTAAAATCTTCCAAGATGCTGCTGGTAATTGAGGTGGCAGTTTCAACCACACAGACTGACTCTAGGAAGCACCTGGATTAAGGCTGCCTTACCCACTCTCCTGTGCGGCCACCCCKGGGGAATTAACTTACTCTTTTTGGTGCTTTGTTTTACTATGTAAGAACACGACCTCTAAGCAGCCTTTTGGAAGCTGCTGCAGTTTTAGAAAGCACAAATGCCACTGGGTGGCATCCCAGACACAGGAATCATCTGCAAAGCAGGGCCTGCCCAGCTGGAGCTAAAAAAGCAGATAATCAAAGAGAAGAAAGAAAATGCCTTGAGTAAGGCAGCTGTCATTAATAAAATAGTGGGAAACTCTTCATTTCAGGCTCTGGAGAACTGTGTTCCTTTAAGGTCACRGAAAAATCAGAGAAACACAAAACAGAGAGAGAAAAAAACAGTTTCATGGCATGGCAGACTTGCTGCAAGGCTGCTCTGTTCCAGCGAGCTGCACCCCGGGCCTCATCAACGCAAGGTCTTTCAGGTATACAATCCCCGATGGCAGCGTGTGCCCTGCTCGCTAGCACACCCCCGTGCTCAAAGCCCTCCCGTGATTCTGTGGATACTTTATTATTACCTTAACTTTTAGAAATTGCTGTTTTGAATGTATCCATCTATAGATTTCAGTTTACCGACTGACAGCGTATGTTAGATTCAAACTGTGGCCAGCTCTTTGGGAATGTTGCTCCCTAATTCGAACAGAGGAATGAAATTCAGCAACATGTSTACTGGGGAGGAAATTCAGAACTGGAGGATCCTAGGACTCCTGCCACAATTGTTACGAATCATTTTGGCCATTCCCAAGGCAAGATCCCATTAAGTCACCATGTTCTTCACATACTTCAAGGAGCAGGAAACCTTTGGCTAAAGCTACAGAGCATAAGTGGCACACAGAGCATGCTGTATGAAAACCAAGTCTCTCTGTTTTAGGGAAAGCCTGAGCATTAACTCTCAGCACAAAAAGAAAAAAGAGTAACATATTGAAGCAGATGTTTATGATATTCCAAAAATGAACATGAAGCAACAGTTTAGCAGAGGAAGCAAAGCGTTTCAGTCACTGCTATGGGGTTATACTGCGTTGGACCAAGCCTCACCAACCTGAAGCCCCACGTAGAGGACATGGGTGTGATGAATGTACGTGTATGTATGTTCATCACACCCATGATTTGATCYACTGTGAAACATTGCCATTGTATCACAAACTTCTTGATGACAATCACTGACAAGCAAATAATCAGAAATCCTAAAAACTCTCCAGTCTATGAAGTTCTTTCTAACTTAAAAAGCAGCACTTCATTTTAAAACATCAGTAAATTGGCTTTTTGAACATCTCTAATAATGACCATTAAAACTCATCAGAGCCAAAAATAAAAACACATAACATGTGAAGCATTCAAATAGAATTAAATACAGTCCCAAGGATACAAAGAAAAACAAATTCTACTAGTACAGGCATCTGAAAATTTAAGAAATAGAAACATGTTTCATCAAGAACATTTTCTTACCATGTTTGCCTACAGGTACTATCAGTTACACTGAGTATCTAAGCCCAAATGAGAGCCTCAAAATGTAAACCCCCATATTTTAGGCATCTGATTCTTCYATGTTTTAAGCTCTGGTTTTGTAATATTCAAAGGTAACTTTTATCAGCAACAAAATAATTCAGAACAAAATGTCACTAACATGGTTGGTTTTATCGCATACATAACCAAAAGCATTAAATAAACAGACTTAAGTCGTAGGCTTTTCTTTGCTTTGGGACATTCAAAATTCCCTTCTCACATCTCCAGAAACACTGGACAGACCTCTGTACTACATGAAAAGTTGTCATTCCCACCTTTCCTATCGAAGTTATACTATGCTATAAAAGAACATGCAAGTCAGATTAGGCCGACACAAACACGGAATGGCCTAGACACAAACACTGAGTAAAATCAGASAGAAACACGTCAGAAGTGCAGCTCCAACCCGATGAGAATGGGGCTTATCTTGAAGAAGAGTATGTTCCAATCCACACTTCTAAAAATTGTTTCAATGTGTGCACTTTTTCACTAAGAAATTACTGAATAAAATCTAGAAACTGTTTTATTTCATATTCAAAAATGACAGGTTAAATATTAAAGAGTATTTTAAGCATGAAAAGAGAAAAACCATGCATGGAGGTGTTTGAAACTATAGAACATGAGTTCTACAAGACTTTCCTTTTAAATATGCTCATCCCCATAAAAACAACCACAACTTAAACTTGAGATTAATCTTAAAGCTACACACTCGCACTGCCTGAAGTTTGAGAGTAACATCTCACCACAATGTGATGAGCAGAAAAAAAAAGTGAAGGACATTCTCTTAACAAAATGAATAACTGCGGGAAAAAAAAAAGGCACAATTCTTCACAATAAAAGAGTGTGCTTGGAAATTAAGGTGCTATAGCAAAAATAAAAAGATGGGCAAACAACATATCTGTACAGACATCTCAAAAGAATCCACCTACAATATTTTCTTAAAATCTGCAAAGCAACATTCAAGTAAGTACTAATAATAGAAGATATGTTTCAACTAACAGCAGAGATAACTTTACCTTCAGACTCTTTAAGTAGTTGGACAACATACTTGGGTGAAAACGGTTTTCTTCAGCAACCTGGTCATCATATCTTGGTCCTAACATTGTCTTCAAAGGTAAAAACTTCCCTACAAAACAAACAAATTTTGCGTTATTTTATGTGTATGTATACTAGCACTTTAACAATGTCAGAGCTATATGCTGTGCAGCTTTAGAGCTTCATGTTCAACAAAAAATAACTGCAGGAAAAACATCAATAGCAGTTTCAACTGGAATTATTAGTTCCAAGTTCTCAGAATTTGAAAATGAATTTAGAAGTTCAAAGAAAATACAGATCACCTCACCTAAAACAGGCACAGCAATGTTTTAAAATATCTAGCTAGCTTTTAGACTGCTTTAAGCTGTGGAACTCCACATAAATAGACAAAATTTAAATTCAGTGGTTAAAAATATGAATGAATAAATAGACAAATGACAGCTTGTCTACCCAAGCTCGTAACCCTCAGTCTGGATCACCTGCAAGGCACAGAACGCAGCACAGAGAGCTGCAGCAAGGCACGCTGCACCCAGAACACCCGCCCGCCACAGGCCCTCTCTTTCCGAGGGCAGTTCCCAGAGGTTTGCTGAAGGGCTCGGCTGCGCGGAGCTGCTGGACGAAGCCTCCCTCCAAACCACAACACTTATGTGTGGCTGGGACACCACACAGATTCACAGATTCACAGAATATTCAAGGTTGGAAGGGACCTCTAGAGATCACCTAGTCCAACCTTCCTGCTCAAGCAGGCACACCTACAGCATGAGGCCCAGGGTGGCATCCAGGCGGGTTTTGAAGACCTCCAGAGDAGGAGACTCCACAACCTCCCTGGGCAGCCTGTTCCACTGCTCTGTCACCCTCACAGTAAAGAAGTTGCTCCTCACCTCGAGACGGAACTTCTTATGCTTCAGTTTGTGGCCATTACCCCTCGTCCTATCGCTGGCCACCAGTGAAAACAGCTTGTCCCCTTCCTCCCTGCATYCTCCCTTCCTGAACTTATACACATTAATCAGATCCCCTCTGAGCCGTCTCTTCTCCAGAGAAAACAGAGAAGACACGTGACACAACACGCTGCAGAACTTGCCCAGAACCAGCCCTCTAAAGACACCTTTTTCTATTATTTTTCACCCAACGTATCTACCACACAGCACGTTTAATAATATCACAGGAGAACTCCAGGACTTTCTTTCTCATCTCCAGTAAACTGTGTCATACTGTACTATGCAATAATCASTTAGTCATTCCTAGAAATTAAAACACACCACATATATTCCTCTTGAGAAAAATACCCTAAAAACCCTTAYGCAACATACAAAATTTCTACTTACAGCAGAATGAAGGGTATTTTAAAGATAATGGTTAAATCCAACATTTTAACAGTGCCAGTCTTTAGTCAGCCATGTCTAACTACTGCAATGATTCTAGCTTTCATGTTTAACAAGTTGATATCACGTTTGATTTTGCTCATTTCCTTACTACAAAGTTTGCAGCTGTAAATTCATAGTTCTGCAAGCATGAGCTAAGATTAAAAAAAACATTTTGTTAGGATAGCATTGGAGACTACAGATGACAAATTAAACTGTTCTGCAAGAGCTAAGAATACTTTTGTTGAAGTTGTTAATCAAGAAAGTGATACAGAATCGATTTTCCTTCTTCCTGACAGTCTCACTTGGACAGCCCAGCAGCGCTAGCAGCTGTTGGGAGCCATTTGAAGATGTTCATGATGCAAAAGAAAGCTGGTCTTGCACCTGCAGCAGTAACTCAGGAGAAAGGAAAGAGAATTACMAGGCAAGATGCCAGAGGAGAGCTGTGAGAAGATGGATCTTGCTCAGGACCAGGAACTCGTGCCCATACAGCTACATGGAGAGCAGCTTCAAACCAGCAGGAACAAGCACTCGAGCAGCAGGTACCAACTCAGCAGCTCAGCACCTCTCCTTGCCCTTCTCCACGCGCAAGGATGGGAGCACAAGTCACTGCCACCAGGAACATCCCCCGTCCTGTGCATATTGAGGATCCTGCTCTGCTCTTAGCTGGGGAAGAAGGGAATGAACAGAGAGAGATAAAGAGACCTGGCCCACCTGCTAGGCACGCCAAGGTCAATGGTACGGGCAGGCAGTAATGCTGGGAGCCTCTCAGCATTTTCTTCTTATGAAAATCTTTAGATGAATTACATTCTGAATTTTATTTCAAGACTGACCAAACAAAACYCTAAAAGCAAAAAAATACTAAAACCCTGTTATCCTTTTAATAAAATTGTTTCCATGGTGCTAAAAGGGCCACTTTCTATAAGCAATGGAAATGCAAGCGTACAACTGCATGACACAGAAGAGTAACAGAAGGTTTCCAAATGCAGGAAGAAGCTCAGACTGAAGCATCAGGTGCAAGGGGCCCAGGAACCAAAGTGCTGATAGTTCGTGGCGCTCCAGAATTGTGTTTTTTAAATCTTTCTTTTAGCAACAAATCTACCTATTTCCTGGAGAAAAATGGGTATTCTATATCTCACTAATTTAACAGTTTTTTTTTTAAAAAAAAAAACAAAGCTTTTCCTTTTATAGTTCAAATACCCACATGACCTCTTGAACTCACAAAGGAAAAGCAGGCACCTTTCCATACTATTCCTGAAACCATTTTATATGGCTGTTCAGTTGTGCAATGTGTGATTAAGTAGTTAAACTTTCAGTTCCATATTCTCAACTGGAGCAGCACAGCTGGTCCTAATCCTCATAAATTTGCCTAAATTACTCATGGAAGGACTGCTTTCTGATCAAGATAGACCGTTTTCATATAACATACAATATATAAATACGATAAATAAATAATTCCTGCTTTCAGCAAAAGAAAAGCATGCAGATAGAAAAGACACTATGCTTTCTTAAACTAGAAAATCATTTTGGAGACAGAAGTTTGCTAACGTATGTAAGAATAGAGAAATGCACACAATTTTCATCAAATGAACCTGAAAATGACTGTTTTTATGTAATAAAATAAATGAACACTCACAGGTTTTTCTGTAGAAAATAAATGCGCATGGCACAATGAGGCAAATCAGAGCAATTATCAATTTCTATCAAGCCTCTCACACTGAAATAAATACATAACAGATTGATTTTGCAAATCCTGATTTTGGATGACTTTAAAGCAGTAAACCTGTCATCACTGTAAGTTTTAGAAAACATCAAGCATGCTTAGAAGCATTTTCATTAACTTCAGCAGTTGTCATTGCCATCCTAATACAGCCTAATACAGMCCCCCTTCCACTACAGAACATGAAAAACATCCCTGAAGTCTTTTTTAGTCTAAACATTAAATTGAAAAAAGGAACTAAGTTGGAAGAAATCTTTGTACAGTAGCTTGATATAAAGCCCTCTCAGATGAGTGTCTCTAAGCTATAAAAACACTCAAGTTTTTATACAATGAAAGACTTCCAGCCTTCCTCAATAATAGGAGCAAGTATAACCGGAGGCAGCAGCCTTCTTGTAAGCCTAGGAAAAGCCAGGAAGCCCTTGCTGTGGTGAGGGGATGTTATAATTGTTACTAAGACCCACCTTATACTTCCAGAGCCTCTGTTAAATAGCAACACATAAGGAACTAAGCAATAAATAACTAATTCTTTATGTTGAATTAGGCGAACTTAAAACAACAGGGCCATGTTTTACAGGGAAATCAAAACATTCCMAGACACTAGTGCATCTAGATTATGATAATAATCATAAAACCACAAAYTGATTTTTAAATCAACTTCAAAGTGCTACTGTAACTTTGACACTTGATCATTACCTCCTTCCACGATATACTTYAAATATGTCTAATAATTTTGAAAAGTGAATGCGAGAAACTAGCTCCAGAATTAAAACTACCTGCACAAGAGGTAACATTTCTTTAGACTGAAGGATGAGGAAAAAATCTAAAAATAAGAGCCCAATATGTGAAAGCAGAGACATGACATCACTAAACTTGAGGGAAATTAAAGTGAAGCACAGAAGATTTCAAATATCTTAGACACATTTTCCATCTTTTCTTAAAATCTCAATTCTGGCACATACCAGTGAAAAAGCTACTTTTAWTTCAGTTTAATTCTTTCTAATATGAAAGCGTTAACTCAATGTGTACCATTACTTTTTTATGACCCTGCTGTGTTCAGACTGAGCAAAGCTAAACACAGAGGAAATAATCTGAGGGGAAGCTTTAGTAAATTGCATCCATTTAACAGAGGATCTCATCTCTGAAAGAGGCCAGTAACAGATGCCCAAGAAAAAGCATAAGAAAGGGTAAGGAAGATACAGCATGGGATGATGCACCCAGCTTGCAAGAAGTTACTGTTCCACAGCTTTCCAAAAGAGAGGGGTCCCAGCTCTATTTAACATGGTGTCTCCATATCAATACGTAGTAGGTCTGTTTGAAGAATAATTCTTAGTTCTGCATGCAGTATGTGTGCCTAAAACAAGATAAACTAACACAAATTAGTAATAAAATCTGAAGCATTAAGTAAAATAATAATAATAATAATGTGCAAAATGAAAATTAAGAGATTCACTAGATCAAAGCGGGAATTATGGAGACTGAAGATACAACAAAGAAACATCTTAAGTACAGCAYCTTGTCATAACACTTGCCATTGATAGTGTTCAATGTGATGGGGGAGGAAAAAGGAAATAAGAAATTAAAAAGCCCACCACAGACTTATAGACTTCATTGAGATGAAGATGCCAAGGCAGCAAGGATAACACAAGCCAACAAGTTCAGTTTTAAGAGCTCAAAAAAGCTCTTTTCCTCAAGTACAAGATGGTCTAAGTGCTAAGACAATGCAATAAAAAAACCTGCGTGAAAATCTTCTATTGAAAACAACAGCCATAACACAGAACTGCAAAGGGCAGCAAAACATCACTATTTAGGATGGTGAGGAGGAAAACAAAACGATTGATTCATCTCATTCAGAATAAGAGACCAGATAACCTGAACAAACCACAGAACACAACAGCTCCAGGCSCCTGAATCTGAGCTCACCTGAAAAATGCCAGATGCCACAAGGACAAGACAAGAGGGTCACGATCAAACCCTTGATGAATACCAGCCCACAAAGCCAGGCAGAC